GGCGCCCGCCACAACGCCTGGTTATTTTTTTTATTACAGTTTGGCCCGGGCCGGGTTCGAACCCGCCACCCTTGGAATATGGGGCCAGTGCCCTACTCACTGAGCCACAGGCACCACCCTAAGCATCTTTTCGAAGTAGTGTTAGTGGGTGCCCAGCCTTCTTTTTGTCTGGTTCTCTTATTTTATTGCCCATTCTCTCTCATCATTCCAGGCACCCCACTACCTTCTCTGGCTACTCTCACCTGTTCCCTTCCCTGAGAGCCCTTCATTACCTAGTCACTGTCTCTTATTCTGTAAGTGGCCACCTTGTCTGAACTCAGAGAAAATCAACATATCGAATCAGTGGTGCTCAGATATGGTTCTGTTCGTGAGCTGCCTGGGGAGTGTTAAAAACCAGTAGGGAAGAAAGAAGATTCTTATCCCCTTGTGTAAGAGGTCTGGTTTTGTAGGTTTGGAGTAAGGCCCTGGAACATCTATTTTTTTTTAAAGCATCCCTGGAGATTCTGATATATAGCCAGGTTTGGGGAACTCTGCTAAATAAACCACTGGAGTTGGCCACCTGATGAAGCAGAGGGCTTCCTGTCGCTGGAGGGATTCCAACAAAGGCGTGTTGATTATTTTAATAAGCCTTTTGTATTTAGTGGTGGTCTGGGAGTGGGAGCTGGGTTCTTTCTGAGGTGGTTTTCCAACTCCCAGGTTTGTAGTATAATTCATGCAAAGGTGTAAATGACTCTGAAATACTCCTAACCCTGATCCTTTTCATGGAAAACTCTCCTTTGCCAAAAATGTATCTGCTGCAGTGGATGCTAATTTCAGGCCCTGTGACTAAGTGAAATGAAGAATTTCAAACAATGTAGGCGTGGAGATCTTCCAGTTGTTCCCTAAATCAGTGGCTCCCAAACTTGGCTGATTTTCAGAGTCATCTGGGAAGCTTTTTAAAAATATAGATTTTTAGGCTCTACTCCAGAACTATTGAATCTGACTCTCAGAGTGGACATGGTACCCAGAAATGGGTATTTATTACAAAAAAAAAAACAAAAAAAACTCCCCAGGTGATTTTGATGCCCAGCCAAGTTTGGGAATCTTGGTTTTAAACCATGCAATATGGACACTGTCTTCTCTCTGTTTAAGCCTCCTTTTCCTTAGGTCTTTAGGAGGCTTTAAAACTAGTCTGAGGACAAATGACAGGAGGCACTTTATACAATGTGCATGAAGTATGTGAAACTTGTCTTCCCTAGAAGAAATACAGAAGAAAAAATTTTAAAAAATAGTTCAAGTCAGGCACGGTGGCTCATGCCAGTAATCCTAGCGCTCTGGGAGGCTGAGGTGGGAGGATTATTTGAGCTCAGGAGTTCAAGACTAGCCTGAGTAAAAGCAAGACCCTGTCTCTACTGAATTAGAAAAATTAGCTGGGTGTGGTGGTGGATACCTATAGTCCCAGCTATGCAGAGGCTAAGAAAGAAGATCACTTAAACTGAGGAGTTTGAGGTTGCTGTTAGCCAGGCTGATGCCACAGCACTCTAGCCTAGGCAATAGAGACTCTGTCTCAAAAAAAAAATAAGGTGGCGCCTGTGGCTTAGTGAGTGGGCGCCCGTCCCATATACCGAGGGTGGTGGGTTCAAACCCGGCCCCTGCCAAACTGCAACAAAAAAATAGCCTGGCGTTGTGGCAGGCACCTGTAGTCTGAGCTACTCGGAAGGCTAGAGGTTGCTGTGAACTGTGATGCCATAGCACTCTACTGAGGGTGATAAAGTGAGACTCTGTCTCTAAAAAAAAAAAAAATTGTTTAGGAAGGCTGGCTAGGTACAGTGGCTCATGCCTGTAATCCTAGCACTCTGGGAGGCTGAAGCAAGAGGAACACTTGAGGTGAGAAGTTCAGGACAGGCCTGAGCAAAAGTAGACTCTGTCGCTATCAAAAATAGAAAAATTATCCAGGCCTATAGTCCCAGCTATTCTAGGGGCTGAGGCAGCAGGGTTGCTTGAGTTTGAAGTTGCAGTGAGTTATGATAATGCCACTACACTCTACCTGGGGTGATGGAGTGAGACTCTGTCTCAAAAAAAAGAAGGGATGGAGGCTTGGCACCTGTGGCTCAAGTGGCTAAGGCACCAGCTACATACACCTAAGGTGGTGGGTTCGAATCTAGCGTGGGCCTGCCAAACAACAATGACGGCTGCAACCAAAAAATAGCCGAGCGTTGCGGTGGGCGCCTGTGGTCCCGGCTACTTGGGAGGCTGAGGCAGGAGACTCGCTTGAGCCCAGGAGTTGGAGGTTGCTGTGAGCTGTAATGCCAGGGCACTCTACCCAGGGGGACAGCTTGAGGCTCTGTCTCAAAAAAAAAAAAAAAAAGAAGGGATAGAACTTCTGCAAGGTTTTCAGGGATGGGTGTTGTGGCGGGCGCATAGGGGAAGTTAAGAGATGCTATATACACAGAGATTCTGTGATTTGTCACTAAGCAGATAATATGCTTATAGCTCTCTTGGCTCATTAATACACTGATGTGCTCCTGATTAATTCACAGTTCACAATCTGTGCTAAGCTTCATACTTGGCAGCTTGGTTCCCTCACTGGGGTCTGTTATCCCTCTCAGTTAGTGAGGGCTCATTCTTTGGAAGGATTTCCAGAATCTGTTATCGGAAATGGGAGGGGCTTCTTCTGATACATCCTAAGATGGAAAATAAAGTGGCAATTTTTACATTTGGATTTCAGGCATTCCTCCCAGGGGCCCAAAGGAGATGAGATTAGTGTGGCCATGACAGTGAGGCTTTATGAAAGAACGAAGATACAAGACGGTTCTTGTCTCAGGCTGGAACTTCAAGCTTGAATATTGGCTTTGCTCTGGGTTTAAGTTGCTGAATGTCCGATTAACCTCTCTTCTTAGGAATCAGGGACACAGTGCCCCTGTGCACTCCAAAGCATCTCTCTCTCTGAAGTTACTGACCTCTGACTCCAATACCAATGTGTTCTTTAATCCCGATTTCCAACTGAGACTTTCCCTTTAGGTCCTCACGAATAATCTCCCCACCTTTGTGTCTCTCTGGACCCTAGAAATGACCCCATTGAAGACTGGAGTTCAACATTCCGACAGGTAGCAGAGCGGATGCAGAAGATGCAAGAGAACCAGAAAGCTTTCGTGCTCAACCCTGCAGTCGGGGTAGGGCCTCTGGCTCCTTTTTCTATGCCATCCCCCTCCCCCCCAGCATCTGGAAATTCCTTTGAACCTCTGATCTTTGGTTCTGTTGCATGTTGCATAAATTCCTTGGGCATTGTGTGTCAATGAAAATGTTATAAATCGGCTCAGCACCCATAGCACAGTGATTACGGCACCAGCCACATCCACCAAGGCTGGCGGGTTCAAACCAGCCCGGGCCAGTTAAATAACAATGACAATAGCAACAAAAAAATATCCGGACGTTGTGGCGGGTGCCTATAGTTCCACCTACTTGGGAACCTGAGGTAAGAGAATCGCTTGAGCCCAAGAGTTTGAGGTTACTGTGAGCTGTGATGCCATTGCACTCTACCCAGGGCGACATAGTGAGACTTTGTCTCAAAAAAAGGGGGGGGGGAGGGCGGCACCTGTATCTGAGCAAGTAGGGCACTGGCCCCATATACCGAGGGTGGCAAGTTCAAATCTAGCCCTAGCCAAACTGCAAAAACAAAAAAATAACTGGGTGTTGTGGCGGGCGCCCGCAGTCCTAGCTACTCGGGAGGCTGAGGCAAGAGAATCACCTAAGCCCATGAGCTGGAGGTTGCTGTGAGCTGTGCGCTATGGCACTCTACTGAGGGCAACAAGGTGAAACTCTATCTAAAAAAAAAAAAAAAAAAAGAAAGAAAATGTTATAAATCAAATCCTATTTTCTCAATTAGTTTTTTACCTTACAATATTTCATCTTCATTCTGACCCCTTCTTGAATCAGTAATCATGAAACACTTTGGGGACCCAGGGCAGTTTCTGTTTTCCATCTGTGTACAGAAAGCACTGAATAGCCGTTGTTATGTCTTATTCTGTCTCTTGTATGTATTTAAGTTTGAAACACGGGCTTAAAAAAAAAAAAAGGGATGTAGTTTCATTCTTCTGTCTTCCTAAATTATCTCCAAAACCTGGTGGGAGAGGATTGGCTTGCAGTGCTCCTGTCCCTTTTTTCCCCTTGAGCTGTAGGTACATTTCACTAGCTCCATCTACCTAAGGCCATCTACCTGTAAGGGTCTTAGCCAAGACCCTGCCCATGCTTCTCTCTCATCTGTGATGCGCACATCTGTGACATGCTCCTTAATCTTTGGTGAGAAAGACATGATTTATGCCTTTGGTAAGAAAGACATATTCATCAAGCATTTCGTACTTCCATCTCCTAGATGCGTATCTCTTTCCTCCTCTTTACAATTGTTGACTTTCAGTCTTCTTTTCTCAGTTGTATGTTTTTTTTAACCATTCTCTTTGCTATAATCTCTTTGCCTACTTGCTGTGCTATGTTCCATATCTGCCCTGTTCCAATCACTGCTTCATTGATCTCTCCAAAGCATATGAAGTGTGGTAATTGGATTTACAGACTTCCACAAAAAAGGTGGTTGGGAGGAGGTGGGGAGAGAAAATTCTCAGAAAGAAAGGCACTCTCTGAAAAACCCTTGGCCCAGCTGACGAGGGATCCCAATAGCTGGGACTTGTTTCTCTTAGAGTCTCCACGTCTTCCTTCCTCTCTCAATTCCTCCCCGATGTCATTGCTTCTCAGCCTGAGGGTCTCAGCGGCTCTTCCCGGATGAAAGGTGGAAGTGCCACCAAGATCCTGCTGGAAACCCTGTTATTAGCAGCCCATAAGACTGTGGATCGGGGCATTGCAGCCTCTCAAAGGTAGGAAGGATCTGGGTAAGAGACAGCTCAAAGTCAGGCAGGGGTGGGGTGGTATGGATGGGGAAGTGGCAGGCCCAGATATGGAGGCTGGCTAGTGCAGCAAGACTGAGGCCCTAAGACAGCTCCTGTGGCTCAAAGGAGGAGGGCGCTGGCCCCATATGCTGGAGGTGGCAGGTTCAAACCCAGCTCTGGCCAAAAAAAAAAAAGGCTGAGGCCCTACCACTTTCCTCTGGGGAAGGGAAGGGCATACTGTTGCTCCCACCAAGTAATCTCAGAGTGTGGATTGTTCCTAATAGATCCTGGATTCTTAAATCTAGACCTAATCCCTGAGCCTGTCTGGGGCCTCCAAAGCTGGCCTAGCTCCTGAGGGTTCCTTTGATGGTCCTGGTCACGAGCCCGGAGCTCATCCTGCTGTGGCCTGCTTCCCTGCTAGTGTTTCTAGTCTTGCCTGTAGACTGTTGCTTTTCTCCTCAGCGCTCAGAGCCTCCTCCCCCAGAGCTGTCTTGATGCCCCATCCCTCCTTCTGCTCCCTTGTCTTCTGCTCAGCTTGATACAGTCTGGTCCCTCTCTGCACCTCCACCAGGATCAGTAGAACTTAGTTTTGAGGGAATTATGCCTCCTCTGCCACACCTAGGGGTGGGGGGGAGGAGAAGGGTGCACAGGCTTTCTGAGGGGGAACAGGCCTCCCTGGGAGCTGATGGCTTTTCTCTCAGATGCCTCCTGGAAATCCTGCGGACATTTGAGCGGGCCCATCAGGTGACCTATAGCCAAAGCCTCAAGATTGCCACTCTGATGAAGCAAGTCAGCACCAGGTGTGTGGATGTGTGTTTGGAGGGGGAACATCCCGAGAGCAGGGAGATGGTGAGACACGTTAACATGGTGAAGGTGGTGGGATTGCATGTTGGTGGGTCATGGCAGGCTTCTTTTTGGTTTATCTCCATTCTCTTCTGTGTACCTCTCTGGTATATTTTCACTGTGACCTCCCTGCTCATATCCTGTCCTCTTACCCACCCTTAGCCTGGAGAAGAAAGGCCGAGCATACCTGGTGGGCTGGCAGACCCTCGGCATCATTGCTATCATGGATGGAGTCGAGTGCATCCACACCTTTGGCGCTGGTGGGACCCCATGAGGACAGCTTTCCTCGTTCCTCCTGATCCTGACCAATTGGTCTACCCTCCAGACACTCCCCTGCTCCCAACCCAACAGCATTCCTCAGTGTCCATCCTATCCTGTCTATATAGGCATTTCTATCATATGATTCTTCTTTTGAACCCGAACTCAGTCCTTAATCCCTCAGCTCCCAGCCCTGTGCTTAGCAATGATATCCCACATGGGTTCCTTCTCACTCTACACCCCACCATGCATTTTCATCCCAGCCCCATCAACACCCCCCAAGCCTAGAACCTTCCTGTTCTATAAAGCCCATCATTCCTTTCTTCTTGTCCTTAAACTTCCCAGATTTTCGAGATATCCGTGGTTTTCTCATTGGTGATCACAGTGACATGTTTAACCAGAAGGCTGAGCTCACAAACCAGGTTGGAGAATAGGACACGGGGAAGATCACTGGTGTGCAGAGGGTGGAGGACAAGGGGAAAGTAAAGAAAGGTGGGGACCACGATGGGATAGAGTCTGGTCTATCCAGGGAATGGGTTAGAGGTCGTGAGGCTTTGGGAAGTACAGGGAGTGTGGAAAGCTCTGGATATAACCCCAAACCTGGCTCTACTCCACTGACTTGATACATAATCTTGGGCAAAACTCCTTACCTTTTTGAATGTTACTTTTTTGGTCTGTAGATAGAAGGGCTGTGATAGATGTCCCCCATGTCCTAGTCCTCCAGCCTATGCTCTAGTGTGTTTTCACAGGAGGGAATTTCCAATTTTCTCCCCCAGGGTCCCCAGTTCTCCTTCTCCCAAGAGGACTTCCTGACCTCCATCCTGCCAACCCTCACTGAAGTTGATACTGTGGTCTTCATTTTCACTCTGGATGGTGAGAGGGAAGATGGGATCGGATTGGTGGAAGGAGTGGATGGAAGCAGAAGAGTGATTCAGAGGGGATATCATTTTTCTGGGTCTTAGGTCACCTACTCAGAGGAAGGGATGGGGCAAATGTCCTGACTGAACCCCAGAAGAGTAGGAAGAGCCAACCTTCCTGTATAGCCAGTCTTTCCACTCTGATGCCCTCCCTCTCTCCTAGACAACCTCACAGAGGTGCAGACACTGGTGGAGCAGGTGAAAGAGAAGACCACGAACATCCAGGCCCTGGCACATGGCACTGTGGGACAGTCCTTGCCGGTGAGGGTCCAGTCTTGAAAAGGGGACCCTGGGTGGCAGTTACAGCCAGGCCGTCCTAGAGATGCCTCTCTTGTTCTTTTTTTAGGCCCCTCTGAAGAAGCACTTTCCTTCCATCATCAGCATCACATGGCCACTGCTTTTCTTTGAATATGAAGGGAACTTTATCCAGGTATGGGGAACGAGGAGGTAATATCCGTAGGGAAGGGCTCAGAGAGGGAGGGATTCCAGAAATAGAAAACTCAAGGCTACAGGAAAGAAAGCATGAAGAATTGTCTGTCCTCTACCAAGCCAGCAGGGTGAATACTTGGGTTACCAGGTCACTAGCTCTTTCAAAGAATATGCAAAAAGTGCAGAATGCCACCCATCACCTGACAGATGTTCATTGCCCTTTTGGACAGGTCAAGTGTCCATGTAGTCATCATTATTATCTAGAAGCCTTTAAGGCACATTTTTTTTGCAAGTTTTTTTTTCTTTGAGACCTAGTCTTACACTGTCACCCTGGGTAGAGTGCTGTGGCATCCTCACAGCAAACTCAAAATCTTAGGCTCAGAAGGCAAGAAGTGATCTTCTTGCCTCAGCCTCCCGAGTAGCTGGGACTATAGGTGCCCACCACAATGCCCAGCTAGTTTTTCTATTTTTAGTAGAGATGGGGTCTTGCTCTTGCTCAGGCTGGACTCGAACACCTCAAACATACAACCTATCCCGGCCTTTTTGCAAGTTGTACCATGCTGAATTCACTGCAGATAATGTTATGCTGATGACATAAGTCCCTGCTTGCTGATGAAAATATAATCCAGCCAATACAGGTACTGTTAATATTCAGAAGTAAGAATCAGTTTATGTGCACTTTGCAATATAGAGTTTGGAGGAGAGCTCTGGATGCCAATCCAACTCTGCAATGTGGCCTAAGAAAGAAAGCAGCTTTGTGTCTCTCTGGTCTTTAGTTTTCTCACATGCCACCTGCCTACACTCTCCATAAGGCAGAACCAAGACTCTAAGGTTGCCCTGGACAAATGTGGTCTCTCATCCATTATCCAAACCACCTCCTTCAGGAAGCTTCCCAACTTGTTCATACAGAGCCCACATGCTGACTTAACCTGGACTCAAAACTCTAGTGGAAACTTCTCTCTCCTGAGCAGGAGATCTACTCTCCTTCTAAAGTGTACTTTGTCTTCCCTTCCAAACCATGTTCATTTGTCACACTACTACTTCTTGGCATGCTTTCCACGTTCATTGACTCCTCTGAGATCTCACATCTTCTAAGAAGTCTTCTCTAATGAACCTCACATCACCTTGATCCTTCCCTTATGATATGTACTTCCCCATCCTTAGAGGGTCCACTATATAGTGATAATACCTGATACCTAAAGGGCTAGACTTAGTACAGACTGTCTCAAATATACCATCTTGGTGCTCATAACAGTCTCCTAAGAAATGCATAAATGTATGTTTGATGTCACCCTTTCCCAGATGAGGAAGCTGAAACAAACAGATTAAAGAATTGTGATCACAGCTTTATACCTAAGAAAGGAGTTAGGACTTGAACTCAGGTCTTGTGATTCTAAGTGTTCAGTCTATTTTCCCCACATGAAATAAATTTAAACCATGGGTTGAGCCAGATTCTTTTATGGAGAGGGGCTATTGTAAGTAATTATAATCTGTGATTTTTTTTTTTTTTTTTTGAGACAGAGCCTCAAGCTGTCCCCCTGGGTA